ATTTTGTAAACATTTTACACAATCAAAAAATAACATTCTATTTAATAATATTTTAAAATGGTATGTTTTCCACTTTTGTAAGTTTTAGTTATTTTTCTTTCAACACCTCTTCCATCACAGTGAAAATCATCCACTACATTTAGTTGATGTGTAATGAAACAGTAATAAAAGTGGTAAAAAAATGCCTAAGCCTGTTGTAGATTAAGATAAGAACATTACATCTGGCTAGGGTGCGGTAGTAAATTAAAATGAAATTGCCCGGAAAGCGTGAACCGAAAGGGCTCGGGCACACGGTCTTGCGGCGATAAATTCAGAATTACCGTGGCGACCACTTTTTTTTTAATGGAAAAACTGGTGAGTGGATTTATTATTCGAACGCGTTATTCTTGTACCCGGAAGCCTCTGTTGGGTGAGCTTTGCCGTTTAATAAAAATATTATTAGAAAACGAAAGGAAAGAGGAAAAATATATTATGTTTAAATAAAGACATGCATGTCTTTTGATCATAGTTAACGTATGGAAAATATTGCTGATTAGTTAAAAAAAAATATTTAAGAGCCTTATATATATTTTTACACTTAGACAATAATATAATGAGATTTGTCGTATGGCAATTGGTTACTGAGCTATTTCAAAACTGATTATGTTAATGATTTTTTTAACTCGTTAAAATTATGTAAAATTTAAAAAAGTTAAGAGTTAACGTTAGTCAGTTTTTTTTTTTTTTTAATCAATTAAGTTAAAAGTTAAGTTGGTCATATCTAATTATTGAACAAAAGACAAGTAAGGTTAAAATTAAGTTAACATAAGTCTAAATATCTCCGCTTGTTTAAAAAGTAGTTAGTATAAAACATTTTATACTTTTTTTAAATCAATTTTTACAATATAGGACTATATTTAAAATATGTTTCATGTTATTTTCGCAATTACAAAAAATGTATTTAAAAATAATTTAAATTTATTTTAAGATTTAAAGACAGCCATTATATAGGTAAGTTTTAAAGAAAAACATTGATACCAAAAACACTTATTTTAATTGAGTAGTTACATTTATACAGCATTTTGTAGTTTGTTAAATTTTGATTTTTTTTACGATTTTCCTATGGTATCAAATATTAGTTCATATTATGTAAAGGACGGAATTAAACATTATCTTTTTAGATAATGCGATTTCTTTTCCATGAAAATTATTAATACTTGAATAAGCATCTGTAATTGACATGAAAAAACAAATAGTAGTAAAATTAAGTTTATTATAAAAATATTGTAAAAACGTTATGTAAAACATGTTATAAAAGTAATAGTGCATAAGTGCAATTATTATCATATCTCCTAACAAGGAATATCCTATAATAATATGATAGATCAATGATAGAATCACGCAAAAAAAATAAATAATTGTACTCAATTTTAACTTGGCTAACCATCGAACACTTGTTGTCATCATACGATAATTTTCTAACATTTTGAAAAAAAGATTACAGATAATTATATCGGTAAAAAGCGCATTCAAACGTTTCCACGTACTGTAGAAATAATGCCCTTGTAAACAAATATTCTAATCCTCGACACATTGAGTTGACCGCCATTTAAAAAGTAGAAATTATTCATCTTTGCGTATAGCTTATTGCATAATTATGATAACTGTAACCTTGAATGATTATATTCCGGTTTTTGGATTTATACTGAACTACACCTTATTTATGCAAAAATGTCAACGTTTATAGTATCGTAGGTCGAAAATCATGTCATGCTATACATTTTATAGCTTCTAAAAATAAACTGGTTTAATGTAAAAGATAGTATACATTTTCAAGTTCATCATATTATTATGTAAGCTTATAATCAAAACAATAACAAATGTTGACACATAATGAGGAATTGATTTTTTAGGATCGATTAGTAAAAATCAATATATAATTAAAACCACTGATAAGGTGTAATACTGAACAATTATTCTTTAGCATATTAAATTACTTTTTAAAATAAACAACAAAACAATTGTATAAGAAAATAAAACATTTTAACTAACCTATAATTTTTTGATTAATAAATACCAAAAAATTAAGTTTGAAATCTAATTAAACATTATTTTTGTTATGAGCCATAAGCCGAAAATAACAAGCAGCATTTAAACGTAAATGACCTTTTTTAAAATTATTATATAATAATCAAAAAAAGGTTCTTGATAAACTAAACCTTGTCGGTTGAAAAATTCTAGAGGTGGCCAATTTACTTTTGCCATTTTGATGCAAAGACAGACGAATAGGTTGTTTGTTGAAATTAAACCTCTAGCCCACAGACATGGGCTAATCTAATATCATTTTGGCTTTAAAAATCTTAAAAAAAAATAATGATTGTTCTAAGAAGACTTTTATAAAAGTTTAATCACATATATGGTAAATATAAAATTGTACATTTAGATCAGTACAACAGTAATATGATTATTTTTTACTGAAATTATTTTTGAAACAAGCCATTGATGTATACTTTTGGTGCTTTTAGACATTCAATCATTGTCAATAAGTTCAATTCTTCTGAGAAATACTTACTAACTACTTAGTATCCAGCCTACACCGTGTAAGTCAAACTGAACGACGGACTTGTGCGTTCAGTTTTTTGCGTAAAGTGAAAACGTCACGAACTATTTGAATGATAAACTGATTAAAGCACGCGGATGGATTATTATACTTTCCTCTTCGTGATGAATTCTGCAATTAATATGAGACAAAACAATGATTTTTGCCACAACATGTTTGTCCCATTAATTTTTTAGCGTTGAAAATGCAAAATTGTTTTTAAAGATTTAACGGTAATTATACAATTTATTAAATACCAAAATGCTTTTACTATACTTTATTTCTTTACAATTGTTGATTAATTTTTATTTTTATTAAATCGAGTCTCAGCTAAGCTCTAAATATTTGAGAAAATATGTACAACTAGTATTTTATACATCGACATTGTACATTAAGGTAGAGTTATGTACGAGTTTTAACCATTTTATGGAAATTGGTATATCAAACTATTTAAAAATTATGCTTGATAATGACTATTTCAAGCTTATTTACATCATTTCAAGGATGTTGATCTTGATGGGTAATAGTTAGGGTCATGCGCTTTCACAGCATGAAATAGAGATGCGCCGCTACACCAGTAAAAGATGATAAAAGGACACTCGGTGAAAGTGGCCACTAGCTAAACCCAACACGAATATTATGCCTCCAGATAAATTATACATTGTTTTTATAGCCATCCATTTAAGTTTATAAGAGAGTATAAAATGTTTCCGCGTCATGTATCGAAACCGAATAAAAAAATATTCAAGATTTGTCTTGTTCTATAGTTACTTAATAAGAAATTTGTATGGCTTTAATCTTGAACAAATAAGTAAGCGCTATGCAGTACAATGAAGTGTACAAAATTTTTTGATGATGTAGTTTGGCTTAGCATGTATATAGATAACCGATGTATAAATTTGTATACAAAACAAGATGAAAAAATGACGATTTAAAAATAAATCAAATTAATATTTTGAATAACTTTAATAATTCAAAAAAATATATTAAGCGTACATTAAACAATACCAGACTTAAAAACTCAGAACAGTGATATCGCGGTAATAATGGAAATGTAGCATAGTTAAGACAAGTATAGATTGTATTTGAGAGTGATTAGAATCACTACTATAAAAATCACTTTGATGCTATCTGTAGAGGGTGCATAATTTTTAAAAGGAATAGTTAATCCATTCCAAAAGCAATATCGAATTCTATTTCATTAATTATATTCTGATTACAAATTTTATGATTTATAAGTATAAAATATGAATAAATACTTATTATAGTAATTAAATTTAGTAAGGAATTGTTATTCAAGGATTTATAAAGAATAAAATAAGTTATAAAATAGTTTCATAGGCGCAATTTCAAAAAAAAAAAAAAATAGAGAGGCTTAATATATCTAACTTCCTTTTCTCTAAAATGTATTTTTTATAGAATTTTATATTNATCTAACTTCCTTTTCTCTAAAATGTATTTTTTATAGAATTTTATATTGTTTTTCTAAAATATTGAAGGGGTTAAGTCCCTCTAAGCTACTTCCACCAAATTTGTTAACTTATAGTAAGCAACATAAACTTTAATTTAATATATGTTTAAAGCTTGAAGTATTTATGAAACATTTTTAAAAGTTTAGTTGAAAAAGTACTATTTTTTAAACGTTGTTGTAAGGTTTGAATCCCCTCCTCTAATATAAAGGGAAATGGTCCGATTATTATTTACTCTATAAATAGAGTATATTGAATGAAAGGAAATGTATAAAGTATAAATATATAAAAAAAAATTGTATTAATTCATACATTTTTGAAAAAGTTATTAAATAATAATAAATTAAATAATTTTAAGTTCAACATAATAAAATATAAAATTAGCATGTTTTTAATTTCGGCGGCCATTTTACCACAAAAAGTAAGTTGTCGGGATAATTTTTTAGCTTATAGTATGTAAAATAAATCTTGATTTAACATTTGTTTGAAGCTCGGAGTATTTCCAGAATATATCCAGAAATTAAGTTGTCAAGGTTAATCTCAAGATTTGATGACAAAATTAATTATTTTTCATAATTAGCAGATTTTTAGTTATTGTATATTTGTAAAAACAAGGAAACTATGACTACCGACTGATTATCATCCTCCTATTTACCCCTCTACCTTATTACGTTAGCATCAAAGCTAAATAACTCTAAAAGCCACTAAATTATTAATGATAAAATCCGCAAATTCGCATTTTCATATTTCTCAGCACTAAATACATATTGACTAGTATAATGGTTCAAGTTATGAATTTTACTTCACAAATTTTTATGCTGTATAATTTTTAATTGAATGTCAATACGATTATTAAATTAATGTTATCAAACAATCATTCATCCTTCTACTCACGCTATCTAGTAAATAAGATATAAACACGGTAAACTATTTTAAATTAACTGTTTTATCATAGATTTAGAATTTTTTACAGATTCATTATTGTGAGTTATAACATTTTTTTTATTAAAACCATTTTTAATTTTATTAGTTAAATGATAAAATTTTCAATGAAATTAATTACTGTACAGTTTCAATTATGGCTGAAGAAATAGAAGATTTTTTTGGTGTCTATTTGTTATTTTGTCTAAATGAAAAATATAAGGGTAAAACTTATATTGGCTTCACAGTTGATCCCAATAGACGTATAAAACAACACAATAAAGGTGTTAAAAGTGGAGGTGCACGAAAAACCAGTTTACGAGGACCATGGTAATAATCTTTAGTATATGGTATAAGTATATATCCACTTCTAAGAAATTATTTCAAATTTATACAACTAACATGATTGTTACATACTATTGCAATTTTTATTTTACATGTTGAAATGGATTTTTCATCCCTAATTGTTTCAATATAAAGTAATTTTGAAACCATAATTATTGACTTGAATCTGAATGTTCAAGATTGAAAAACCTATAAAAGAGTTTGAATTATAAATATTTTATTGTACACCATTTTCAAAAGTTGCTAGATCAAAAATGCTATCAGCATATATAAATTATACTTTATAAGATCATTTTTATATATTAATAGGCTCACATTTGGGTAAAATTTTATATCCAACAATTTTTTGTTTATTTATTTTTTTAAGTTGTTGCAGCCTTGAACAAGATAGTGGATATGAATATTAATATAAATTCATCATCAAAATAATTGTATTTTGTTTTCTTAGGGAAATGGTATTAATTGTGCATGGTTTTCCAAATGATATATCAGCTCTCAGAGTAAGTTTGTGACTATTTAGTAAAAATAAATTATTTTTGATTAAATTGTATATTTTTTGTTTTTACGTTGTCCTGTAAAATTAAAAAACTACAATAATAAATTATGACTTGTCACTATACAGTTATGTATTACAATATTTGAAGAGTGAATGTGTCAAACGTTCTATGTGCCAAAAAAGTGAAAAATTGTTTTATTTCTGATTTATGTTCTATGTGCCAAAGGCCACAATCTTGTATGTGTTTCAAATGTCAATTAAATTTTTTACTTGTACAAAATTGCATTCATAGATGGTGTTCGTTGTGTGAGACATACCCATGTTACCATTGTTTTTTGTGTTTTCTGAACAAATATGTTTTTGGCACATTCACTCTTCATTTATTCTATTTAAACTAATTTTATTTTGATTTCAGTTTGAGTGGGCATGGCAAAATCCTAAAACATCCAGAAGATTAAAGCATGTAGAACCAAAGAAAAAAACTGAAAAAGCTTATGACTATTGCATAAGATTACTTTCTGAAATGCTGCATAGTGGACCCTGGAATAGACTTGCTTTGAATATACGATGGCTCAATACTATTTATAAAAAAGATTTTAATGTAAGATAAAAATACAAAGTTATTTAAAATTCTTCATTGTGAATTTTATTTACTATTGACCAACTGTTAGAAAAATAAAATTGTCATTACACAAACTATAATGGCGATGTTAAAAGTATTTTTCTAGTAACTATTAAATTTTTAACAAAACCTGTTGCATTTCATTTATTCCGTAATATCAGAGACACATTTAGGAAGGGGAATGTGACCTGGGAGTGTTTCTATTATATATCAGCTTTAAAAAAAATTATTATTGATTTGTGAAATTTACAAAAAATTATTAGTACATTTATGTCTAAAAGTGAATGTATTTTTATGTATTTCTCAAATGCTTTGATGCTAAAAGTAATAATACTACATTGGTTTTATCATAAAGTATTTTTTATTTTTAAAAATACATTACTGAGGAAATTTTGATTAAAGGAGGATTTTTTTCTTTTTTACCTGGAGCATAAAATTCCTAAATAGGATTAATATAGCTATATTTTTTCAAGAATCTCGTTAATTCACATTTAAGGCTACTCATTATCCTTATATCTCAAACATCTAATGTTTTAAATTGTTAAATATAAGACATATATATCAATAAACAGTGTTCAAATTACATATTTTATAACCTATTGAACAAATATATCAACAATTTATTAGATCATATTTACTCTTATTAATTGATTGATAAAACGTAATTTTCTAAAATGTGTTATTAATGTAAAAATATTACTAAATTAAGTATCAATTAAAGTATGGTAAAAACTGTATGGTTAGCTGTTTTTTTAACCTATTTTGTTAGTTCTTTAAATTTTATTTTTACAAATATTTATAGTAATACAAGTTTAACTTTTTAACATAATTTTTTTTTTTACTGAACATAATAGTTTGAAATTGACATCATAAAATAGGAAATTTTATGAAAAATTAAACAATTTTATTATTTATATTAATATGTGTGCTATTAATATGATTAGTTTGTGGTCAGGAACATATATAAATACTTTTAATAGTAAATTTATTAGTGAAGTCAAAATTTCGTTAAAAGTCACTATTATTTCCTTATAAATCATTTTATAAAGATTCATAGTAGATAATTTTTTGAAGTTGATGTTAAAAAAGAAGCAGGAATTGAATATATTCAGTTTTTAATTGATTTGAAAATATTGTCTTTATTCATAAACTTACTATTAATAGTATTTATACAAGTTCCTTACCACAAAACAATTTTATTGACATCTGGCATATGAATCTAATTAATGCAATTTTTTAAATCCTCATAAAATTTCATATTTAATAATATCTATTTCAAACTTTTATTCAGTCAAATAAAATTATTTCAAAAAGTTAAACTTTTGTAAATATTAACTTTAAAGAACCAAGAAATTAGGTTAAACATGATATTTTGGATTAAAAATTCACATAGTTTATTTTTAATATATTAAATTACCAAAATCAATAATAATATGAAAAACAATTTTTTTTTAGTTAAATTTTTCATGTGTAATTTTTTATTTTGTGAAAATAAGATATCCTGTAGCCTTAATTTTGTACAATTCCAAGAAAACTAAAATTAGATATAATAATTTTTGTTTAGTTTTTAGTATATAATTAATTGAAGGGTCTAATGTAATCTGTTGTCTCCATATTTAAAAAAATTGTTCAAGAGACAAAAATAATTTAATTTAAACCAATATAAAAATTATCACAAATATAAATGCTATTTAATTTATTTTAGACTAGTAAACTTCCACCTTTACACATGCCTATATGTTATGGACCAGTAGTTTGCAAAAAGATTGCTTCATCAAATGATGTCTCTATACTTGACAATAGTGATATTTTGACTTGTGTTCAATGTATGCAAAAATGTACAATAGAAAATATATTATGTTGTATAAATCCAGATTGTCAAATGGTATCTCACACTATTTGTTTAGCTAAATATTTTCTTGGTAGCTCTGATCATATTGTTCCTGTAGATGGTAATTGCCCGACGTGTGGAATTCATGTGCTCTGGGGTGATTTAATTCGTAAAAAAAAAGGCTGTTACAAAAATTTAACATAACTTTATTCAACAGATATAATAATATGATTGTAATTAATTGTTTTAATTTTTATTAACTATGAATAACTTGTTCAAACTTTACAATAATTTGGTAGTAAAATATTTTATAACCAAATTATTTTTAAACCAAATCTTATTATTATTTAAAATATATTTGACAAAATTCATTTTTTATTCTACCTATTTAGAATTTTATTGGACGTATTAATAATTAGACAGTCGGTTTTTTTTTTTGATATTAATGAATACTTAAGAGTTTATGTGATTAATAAATTATTTAAATGAAAATAAATATTATATTGATGATTTTCAGTTTAAAAAATAAAGTATTAAATTTATGTACAGTAAAAATGAATTTTTATTTATTATTTTATTTTTATTTTTTACATTTATTGTTGATTTTTAGAAATCTAAAGTAAACAGAGTCAACATTATTTGTATAGATGACATATTAAGTCTTTTTTACTTCTAAAATAAAATCTATTTTACATACATAGGAAATGTATTTCTTGATATATTCTTGTTTATATTCAATAGTAAATTGTACTTTTAATGAACAAGCAACATTAATGTGTAACAGAGAAGGTATTGGTTTTGCTGATGTGTTATTTAAGTTGTGGTGACTTACAAAAGTCCAAACCATTCAGCATAAACGATAATTTTGTTAATTCCACAAATTTTACAAGCTTAACTTTCAGAGTGTCTAATTAATAATTAACATTTTTGGAATGTATAATCATCCATATACAGACCTAAAATAAAGAGCTTACTTCCCTACCTACAAAGATAAAATTACATTTATATTATGTTCAAATATTTTTCAAGCGTAGAAGAACTTCAGTTTAGCTTCCATATTTTTTTCAGATTCATTAAAAAAAATTTGTATTTTTTGCCTATGTTTTCTTATAAATTGACTAGGTATTTTCATAGATACTAAACACCCTTCATTATACAAATCATCAATAATCTCAAAATTCATCCCATTTTGTAATTTAACAGCTTTTATAAAAGAACCATAAAATTAAATATTTAAATTATTTACTATGATAAAAAAAATATAATAATAAATGGTAGTTTTGGTTGCATTAACCTAAGTTATTTTTTTAGCATTAATTTATTTACAATGATGGTGGTTTAGTAGGACATTACAGAAAAACAAAACTTCTTTATGCAAAGTTCTTTTTTACACAATCAATGAAAAATTTAGATCATATAATACAAGTCATATTTCATTTTAGTAAAATTGATTAAATTCTATAATATCACAATAATATAAATTATAATTTTAACCTGCAACTATACAGTATTACAACCTGTAAAAAAAAATTTAATAATAAGTATTTAACAAAAATTTTTAAATGACTCAATAATGTACAACAATAAAAAAGTTGATTTTAAAAATTTAAGTCTTGATAGTAACAACCAAAAATGTTATGTAATTATGACATTAATAAACAATATAACAATATGTAAAACACATAATGAATTTACAAAATATATAATTATTTTTAATAAATTATAAAATATTTTATGAGAAAACTGACCATAAATGTAAGCTTAGAACTATTTTAACTAATGTTATATTATGATTTAATACTTCACTATATTTATATTGCATTATTTAGCAGTTGATTATTAATTATTACTTTTTTAAAATGAGAAAAAATTAACATCAGTTTTCTTCCATTTGTAACTAACTAATCTCAGAGAATTAGAAGATAATTGTAACAACCAAACATGTCTCAAAATTGTGATTACAAGTAATAAGAATAAAAATATAGTACTACAATTCAATTTAATACATTAAAAAAATCAGCTTTCCAGTCAAATAACAATATTATCATGCATAATGAAAAAATAAATATAACTTGTGTATAAACTTAAACACTAATATGACTATACTCTAAAATTTATATAACTTTAAATAAAAATTTGATAACTTTTTAAAATTTAATATCACAACAGATTGAGTTATTATTTTCTATCAACAAACTTAATTTAATTATGTATGAACTAGAAATCTCTTCATAAATTCAAAACTAAGTAAACAAATTTTTTTAATAAAATTAATAAATTATTACTTAATTTTTAAACTTTTTAAAATTAAAAAAACATACATCAACGAATAATTTAATTTTTTTAAAGATTTGGTTTACCCTGTAGTATTTGGTAACATTATACTTAATTTTGGTTCCTTTTAATTGGTATAAAAAGTTAAGTATTTTTTAAAATCAGGAAAAATATTTTTATTTAAAAATACCATTTTAAATTTAACTCAATTTACATATTTATACTTCAACCAAATTAAAAATCATAGAATAATAAAATATATTAGTTCCATAGGTTGTTTCATTTCAGCTTAAGTTTGTCTTAAGTACATCTTCACCTAAAAATGATAAAAATTAAATTATTAAAAATGTATTTTTAATTAATTATAGCAGATCTATGGACAAATTTGAAGAAAATTAAGTTTAATGTTACAGAGTAACCAAAAATCATTAAAGGTATATTAATAGTTTTTAATTTTTTTATACATATTCTTATAATTATTTTCAAATATATAACAACAAAATGATAATTGAATAAAAATTTATTTGATTTTTCATATCCTCATAACTCACTACATTTTAACAAAGATATCAAAACAAGTTTTTTTTTTGCTGTAGCTAAAGAAACATAAGAAGAAATCATTGCAGAACACCTAAACCATTTATAGTAAGGATTACTTCTACAAGGATAACATTATAAAAGTAATAACCGATGGAAATCAAAATGAAACCCATCAAGAAATATAAAACCGAGAAATAAAATAAACAACAAAAAACAGGTTTAGCCATATAATAAACAGCAACAGAAGATACAATATTATCTTAACCCCCTTAAAAATCAGACACAATACATAATCATCTAATGCAAAGAAAATATCCCAAACCTTGTGGAACTGAAAACTCAGTAAAACATATTATATTAGAAAGCTGTTGCATGATACTAAAAGGAATAACTTCAAACTGTCTATTAGAATTAAAATTAAAACTTAAGAAACTAAACTCATAACAGTGAAAATCTTAAAATTTATCAATTTAATACAAATTAAAGACAAAATTGAATGTAACCATAGTAAATATTAATTAATTTGGCTATAGACCTCCGAAGTCTAGGTCTTAACAAAAATTAAAAATCCAAGGTTTGTATTTATTTTACTAAGTAATAAAGTGTCTATATATCTTGATTATTAAATAAATAATATATAGTAGAAACAATGATTAATATTAAATGAAGTGTTGAAAATTGAAAAATGATTTATTTGTTACCTTGTTCAGGTTCAGACAATTTTTCGAAGTTTACAGTCATGTTAAGTGATTCTGGAGAATCTTCTAAAATCTTTTCTGACTCTGGAAATAACTGTGTATAAATGAAATACGCTACATCATAGTTTGACCAATATGATGTATGTGTATATAACATTGAAAGATAATTACTAGCTGACCCTCCTATACTATCCCTCAAAATATAATCCAATCTATGATTTAAAGCTATAATTAAATTATATTAGTAAAAATAATTTATATTAACAGTAATTATCAATTAAATAATCATACATTCAATAGGAGAACTATCTTTGGAGGATAAACAAGAACCATTATCCAGTAGGTTTAAATTGGTTTTACTTTCAATATTTCCAGATCGACTAAACCAAATTCCAAATTTCTTGAAAGTTTCATTTCCTCTTTTACTATCAGGTACTTTAGAATCCATTGAATTGGTATCATCAATAGGCGAATCAGCATTATCACCTATTGTTTCTATAGGTATGTTGGAATAATCAGTTTTAACTCCATAAGCTTGAATTCCAACAGGTTTTATTCGACTATAATCCTTAGCAACTAATGGTTCAAATCTAAAAGGTATTTAAAATTTTTTTTTCTTTTTTAATTATACCCTCAATACATAAGATCTTTGAATTACAATGATTTTATATACAAATATATTAAACTTTACCTATAAGCAACAGGATCAGTAGGATGATAAATATTATACACACGCTTTGCCAGCCATAATGGAAATACATCATTATCTTGAAAATCTTTGGTTTTTCGTAAGGCTAAAAACACTGATAATGGTGATCCAATACAAAATAAATTTTCAAGCTAAAACATAATGAAGTTATATGAACTTAAAATAGGTAAATGATAAAAATAATAACCATGATTTTCAATAAAATACTTACTTCAAAATTTAAATGAATTTTAGGACTATGATAGTTTCTTTTTAATGTCTAAAAAAAAATACATGATAATATATATATATATATATATATATATACTGAGACAACAAAATATTTTGTAATACTTACAAATGGTTCCCAACCAGTTATGATATCATATGTAATAACACTACCTAAAGAATGAGCCATTATTGAAACTTTTATATCATGTTGTGGATGTCGTTCCATAAATTTAGAATGTAATCTATTAAGTTCTTGAGCTAAACTATTTTGAATTTCTTGCCCATAAATTGGTGAAGTGTAATACATAATATCCATGGCAGATGAGTTAAGCAGTTGACGTATATTTTTTAAATTTAGAGGTGTAATTTTTTCAACAAGACCTAATATAAGAAATATGAAAGAATATAGTTCTAAACTTTTTAAATTTATATCATATATTAACCTCCATCAAAGTTACAGGTTGATCGCCAGTCAACTGGAAAAAATTCTGCTCTTTGTTGAGATCCTTGGAAATACTTTTGCTTAATCCACTTGACACAATCTCTAAATCTAAAATAAATATTGAAAACACATAGTTTAAATATTTTATTTCTTTTAACTAATGTTTTTAATTTTTTCTTAGTTATTGATAATTAGTTGATCAATTAATGTTCAGGGAAGAAAAGAGAAAAAAACTTGATAGATTGCTTCCATAAATATATATGTATGGTAACTCATCTAGTTATTGAACTCCAAAATTATTTGACAGATTAATTATTACAAATTAACTATATCTAGATATAACATTAATAATTATATCAACTCTTAAATTTTAATATTTTTAGCAATATTAAATAAAAATCAAACCTAATAAATGGAATTTGAGTTCAAAAAAACCAAAAAGGCTCTGTAATTGAACAAAATTTTGATTGATCATAGAATATTTAATTATCATCATAAGTGTTTTAAATTTTATTATTGAAGTTTTGTTCCACAAATTAACAAAATTACTTAACTTTTATGCTTTAGAGTTAATTTTTCAAGTAACACTAATGGTGTTCATTTATTGAGGGGTATTAAGTAACTGGATCAGTTACCCTATAAACAAGTGTAGATAATGAATAGTGTACTTTTACAATTCAGGAAGTGAATAAAAATTCCATTTTTAATATAACATGAAAGAATTTGAGAATATTTTTATTCTAAATAAAATTAAAAAAATTTGACCTAAAATTAAATAATAATACTAATGATAGATATATAAAAGAATAAAATATTTTTATCAAATGGTGTGTTAATATATACAAGGCAACAGCTGAAGGGATCAAAATTACATTTTAGAAAAATTATGATAAATACAAAAATAAAAAGTAAAATGATCCTTTCAATTCTAGGTGCTTTAAATAATATATTTACTGTGAAGTATTTTTGATAATTTTCATGTTATCTGTTTTATGGCCAATGCCATGAACCATAAATATTAAATGAGTTATATCATTTAATTTATCATCATCTGTGGCTTCTGTTTTGTATGATCTATTTAACTTGGCTCCTGTAGCTAAAAATAAAAAATATATATAATTAAGAATTTTTATATATTAAGATGAACTATTTAGCATGGTTAGGAACGTGTTATGCCTCGGTAATGATATACACAATACACAGGTAATGAGGTACAATACACATTGTACCTCCAAACTTTATAGATTTTGCCATCCTTTTTCATACAAGAATTAAGCTTTTTAGTTGAAAATACATTAAACATAAAAACAAAAAAATTATATTTATATTATATTACTAATAGTTTAGTTGATTAATATGAGAAAATACACAGTGTGATCTATAATTTTTTGACAAAAATAATAACTTTTGAACTAAATATTTTACATTACTTGTTTTTTTTTTAAATTTATGTATTCTTAGAATACATTAAAATCATATTTATTATTATTTTTCTTAAAAAGTAATTTTTTTTTAATTTCAAAATAAAATTTAAGGTTTCCTTACAAAAAATTTTAATGGTTCAAATATAATTTTAAGATGATCATTTATAAAGTTACAAGCATTTTTATTAAGTATGCATTATAAAATACACTAGTACAAGCTGTACACATTAGCTACATTTTTTTTTTTTTTTTTGGTTTTTATTATTTACTTTTTTATAACTTGAACACTATTTTATATTAGAATTCTTATACAAAAATTTCAACTCACATTTTTGGAAGTATGATCCTAATTTTTGTGTAACACTTCTCATAATTTTTGTATGTGTTTTTTTGCTAAACGAATATATATCATCTGCAGAATACCAAACTACATTTGCATCAACAAACTCTTCAGTATGAATGACTAAATATAAAAAGATTTTTTTAAATATATTCCCAAATATTAATTTAAATAAAATTAAATTTAAAATTATTATAATCATAAAATATCAATACATTTATATAAACATACTTCATTACCTGTTTTTTTTGCATCATCATTATTTTCAAATATGTGTTTATTTTTCAATAATTTTATGTGTATATTTTCTATCTCATTGCCATGTTCATGAGGTTGATAATCATCATAAAACCACGAACCTCTTAAAATTTCTGTTTCTTCTCCTATAATTAACAGATAATTGTTAAAAAAAACAATCTACAAACTTTGAATAGAATAGTTTCATGTTTACCAGGCCAAAATATTGATGTACATTTCATTGTTCGCAGATCTGCTTCATAAAGTCCTCCTCTAACTACTACAGTGTATTTACCAACAAAAAATTGTACTTTAGGTTCTTCATCACAGAAATTTGCTCTATATCTATTTTCAATGCCTAATGAATCTGCACCATCAAATTTAGTCCATCTTTTGGAATTTGAATCATTTTTATAAAACCACCTTATATTTTTTGGATGCATAGGTACAGAAGAATAGTTATCACCATTTTTTAAAGTATCCAATTCATTAGGTACATTATTTTCAATTCTTCCAAGTGAAATTGGCGTTTCTATTTGAATACCATTATTTTCCATTCCGGTATAAAATTTAGTGATACTGAAAATATAAAACAAATGTTACAATCAATAATTTTGATATAATGAATGAAACCTGAGGTAAATTTTTATAATTGAACCGATGATGTAATATATAGCAAATACCAAATTATTATGAATCATGTTAAGCAAATACTAACTACCAAGGTACTCACGTTAAAAAATAAAACTAAACCTTTAAATAATTCAATACTAAATACGTAACAAATTGTATTTTATTATAAATTGCTTTAAGATTCGTCAAACGTAAATTATGAAATTAATCAAAAAACATATTGTGAAACTTTTTTTAACGTTTAACATTTTTATATATTCTATGGTTTAAATATTGTCTTATCATAATATGTTGGTGACGGTAAGGTACGTGTTACGGACTTCATAAGTAACAAAACAGATAATACTGTTATCATTAAAATTGATAATCAAATTTTTTTCTAATTGTCATATTTTTTTTGTTATTTCCAAATTTATAAAATTAATTTTTACATAAATATAATACTCGACGTAAAATCGTAAAAATTTAAATTAAAAAAAGTAACTTTATCTATTTTAAACCGTATTTAACTAGTCTGTATTTATAGCTTTAAAATTTAGTTTTTTTTTAATTTAGTATTAAAGAAGGCTTAAAATGTTTGGTACAATTAGAGAAAAGCTTCAAAGTGTAGTTCAAGAAGGCTTAACTGCAAGGTATTTATTTGATTTTAATAAAAATATCCAGTTAAAATATTTAATGTGACATTTTAATAAAACTATGATAAAAATATATTAATACAAAATCTATTTATAAAAATATACTTATTTTTTTAGCTCATAATTTTAATTATTTTAAACTTATGATTTTAAAGACTATATGTATTTAATTCATAGTACCTTAATAATAATTCCATATTTTAATTTTGTAACTAATCTATATTCTATAGTAATATTTTAATTTAATGATGTTTGTTACTTACCTGTTGTCAATTATTGTCTCAGTTTTCTTAATTTTGTGACAGAATTTAATGTTCTAGTATTATTGAATGAAATGATATTATTGTTAAAATGTGTAGAGAGTACTTTTAATTATTTTATCTAAATTCTCGAATATTAGTAAAAAACTTTTTTTTATTTATTTTGAAAGTATTTTTTTATATGAATTTGTTTATTATTCAATAGATTTCAAACATTTTACTAATCCTTGACAACAAGTAAATTAATATTATTAAATGTAAATAATCTTTAAGTATATTGTATTTTTAGAAAGTGCATTATAAAATAAAATTTAGTAGAAAAACTACTATTTTTAACTAATGAATTACTATTTGCTATTTAATTATTATTTTTATTTTGTATTACTATGATATGGAATTAAAAGCTTATTTAATATATCTCAGATCTAACTAAAAACTTTAATAACTGTTGATCCTTTAAGTTCTTAAGTGATTAAAAATAAATCAATCGCCCTGTATTTTTATTCAGTAATTATCCTAAAAAATTCTTGAATACAATTTGGATGGGGTAAAAAAATTTGTTGTGATATAACCCTTCAAAAATCATAGATAAGTCAATGTGGCAAACAACTTAATTTTATTAATAATTCGTTAATAACTTTTATAGATAAATATTTTTTTTATTTTATTTATTGTAAACCTCTATTTTACGGAAAAATATTTTTATTTATAATTTTAATTTTTATATAAAACAGTTTTATGTATTATTTTACATTTAAAAAAATTAATTTAAGTTCTAATTATTTTTAGTTTAAGGGGCTTGTCTACTAATGAGTCTAACATTGTTTCTATTAACAATGATGAATGTTTAGTTAATTTTGATGCTGGTGCAGATTTATTACACAAATATCAAACAGAATGGAACCAACTGCATTTGTTAGCTGAAGATAACTCACATAAAGCTGAGGTTAGAAAAGCCAAAATAAAATAAAGTTATTTTAATTTGTAAAATATATCTTTAGGAAGTTAGTGAATTAATTGGTGTGTTACATCATCAAATGAATAAGCAGTGGAAACAAATGGATATTATGACTTCTTGTTTGAAATCAGTACCTACTCTAGTTAACAATATTGAAAATGCTATTAAAGACATGGGTAATTCTAATTTATTTATCTTATCAATAATAAAAGCAATTTGATTCCTTATTTCAAACATTTTGTATAGTAAATTTGATACTTATTTGACTTAATTGATTAGTTATACATAGGCACAAATTGTTGGGCTTGGAAGGCTTGGTCTACTAAAAATATTTAGCATATTTAAAATTTGTAATGCCTTTTCAGCAATTATTTCATTTATAATTTATAAAATAATAATAATATTAAATATATTATCTAAATGTTGGTGTCCCACCCTCTTTTTCTAATTCAAATATTTCCTAATTAGCCAAATTAGTAAATCATGGTGGGACACCTGTAATATTTTATTATTTATTGTTTAAGAAAAAATATGTATAATATTAATATAATGTAGAACAGTTAGTATTATAGGTATATTGCATTTAAATATAAGCATATGTGTATTGGTATGGTATGAAGGATGTAGGACAGAGCTCCCAACTGGCCTGTCTAATGTAAATATTTCATGCTTCTCCTAGAAAAAATTTTAATTTATGCCTGTCTTGTTAAATTTAATATTTGCTAAATAATATTTTAATCTAGAGAAATATCTTTATTTTTTAAGATAATGTGAAAGACCTATTTTGAATGAAAAATTTAAAATAAAATAAAAACTGTATGTTCCCACACCAAGCATCTCATATAGATTTAATAAAAGTTCTCTAATATATAATTATTTAATAAATATTTTTAATTTAGCAATAGATCTTCATATAAATAACTTTCTTTTTGCTTTATATACATTTTATGTTAGAAACTGTAATTTCCTTTTTATTTGCAGCATTGAAAAGATTTTTTTTTTAAGTAATTAATTACAAAATCTATTTTAACAATTATCTTTTTTTTCAGATTGCATTCAAAAATTAATCATTAATGTAGAGCACCAATTGTTAAAACTTGAAGATATTGTTGAAGAACAGGAGTTGCAAGAACAAATGTTAAATGAAAGATTTCAGCTAGCTGTGTACAGAGGGAAAAAGCTTAAAGAACTAGAAGAAACAAGCAGTAAAATTTTTTTAAATATAACAATTATATATTAAGTATAAAACAAATCTGATTAACAACTTTCATAACTTTTGCTATAATTAACATTTTTTTAAAATAAATTTTTAAACTATATTGAAATCATATATTTTATTATGTGTTTTCAATAATGAAATAAAATTTAAGTTTTAAATTTTAAATTTTAAGCACCATTTTTAAGCACTTCTTACAAATATGATTAACAGATAACAATTATAGAACGAGTAATTATTGAGTTACAAGTATAGAGGATATATTGCACATGTGGGTACAGTTCGTACTAGTGTATGTTTATAATGCATCTTCGACTCGTATTACTTACCTACTCAATGTTTTCTAAAATGCTGGTAACTCAATAATTACTCATTCTAGAATTGATATAATCCATTAATCACTTTTGTAAGTTAAGTATTAAAAATATACTATTTTAAAATTTAAAATTAAAAATAGATTAACTTTATTGATTTTAAAAACAATTATAAAAAATATGATTTTAAATCAGTCAAGAATGCAAATAAAAAAATACAACAAAATCTCAATTGTATCAAAAATTATAGGAGTTAATTTGATCTGTATTTAGAAACTATCCAGTATTCTCCATAGTAGGTTAATATTTTAGTAGTAATTTATATTTGGTTATTCGTCGTCATGTTGTTACATACTTAAGAATTCTATAATAGTTATTTAAAAATAAAGGAAAAAAATTTTTCATTTTTATAAAGAGACCATTCTTGACCTTATGTACAGTTACACACAGTGTTTCAGACCACCCCATTAACAACATAACTTTTGATAAAATTATAATTTTTTTTTTTTAATTATTGCCTTTTTACAACCTTATTATAATTTTCAAAACATATTTGTTATTATTTATTTCAACATTTAAAATAGCCTTTCTTTTGCAAAAAATTATAGTTGGTCGATAACAATTTTAAGACAAGTACTTAATGACTTAAAAACGTTTTAATATATAGAGTGAATATGTTATACATACACCAGTACAAGTAGCACTCACCTTCTCTATATACCCATTCTATGTATTAATATATTAATATCTCAATGAATACTTGTCCTAAAATTGTTATCAACTCATAAGAATTTTTTGTAAGAAAAGGGATAAAAGACGACTTTTTTGAAAAAGATTTATTTAAATCTAGTTGATATTTTGTAATTATAAAATTTAATAAATAGATATGATAAAAATTATTAAATATTCTTCATTGAATAATACCAAATATTTGCCCTCTGTACACTGAATAATATCAAATTAAAAAATATTTGATTTTCCAAATTTACTAATTTAGCCTATATTTATAATTTATACAATATTGTATCATTTTTTAATTTTGCATACACCGAAATTTTAGATATATTGGAGGCGGAACATATAGAAAAAGTTGAAGAATTGGAAAAAAAAATTAATATTAAACTTAAAGAAAGACAAGAAATTTTCAATCAAGTATTCCAACAAGATATGCGTCAGTATATTATATCTGGCATTATTCCTGTTATGAAAAGTATAAAAATTTATTGAAAATTTCTCTGATAAAATTCTAATATTTAATCATTACTTATAGATAATAGTGGACGTGATGAAGTTTCACTCGAGGATATTGAAATAGAAGATGACACTGAAGCTTTAAATGAACTTCTAAATTCTTAAAATTATTATAGAATAATTAAAATGGTACAAAGTTACTTGATTTAAGTGGATTTATTCAGGGTTTATGTCTTCCAGACTTAGTACTGTGATGTATTGAGTTAAAGTGTTAAGATATGTTATTATTATTATTGAATTATAAAAGTTTTATTTTTTACTATGTAGATATATAAATAAATTTTAATTTAGCATAATAATAAAAAAATTACTATTAATTTAATTTAATAATTTATTAGAAGGTTTAATTTAATGTAAAGTTCAGCTAAAAATTTTATCCTGGCTATAGAAGTACTTAAATAATACTAGGGCTAAAAATGATGCGCTAAAAACCTACATTTAATACATTAAAAAAGTTATCAATTATGCTTTTAAAAATATCTTTATAATGTGAAAAATAGTTTACAAATTTAATATTTAGTCAAAAATAATATTTTACAACTGACAAATAATTTACTAACTTACCACATTTGAGTTTATAAATATTAATATTTAGAATACTTGAATGAAATTTTATATCTATGTGAAAAAATGAATGACCAAGTATTTAACTTGTTTCAAAATATCACACAGCAAATATTCAAATGCAGTTTGTAACCTTGAAATCCTACTTGGCTATTTCTCTGACCATATCTTAAATCATTTTTAAGAAATCTAAAAATTATTATTTAATTTTATTTTACTACCTGAATTCCAATCACAATAATTTGGCTTCAAAGAACTTCATTTATAAAGTGGTAAATTAGAAATCACTTGAAAAAATCTTAAAAAGACCTAAAAATTATGGTATTATAAAGTCTTAAAGGACTTAATCTAGGAATGAAAAACTATAAATAGTTTTAAAAATATCTAATAAAATGTTTTTTAACTATCGTTACTACTATGATACATTTGTAAACATTATACAAACCACTCTTCTTATCCAAGTATTACAAATTTTTGTTATACTATATTTTTTTATGAATAAAAGTTATTTAATTTTTTGTACATTTACATAAAATTTTCATTGTTCACAAGATATGTGCTAAAATAATGTGAAAAAAAATGCAAATGCTACAAATTCCTAGCCCTAATTATTACATGTATGATTTTAAAAGAGAAAACTCATAAATTTATACTTAGAAAACAATGTTGATGAAAGTTTATTTTCAATCAAAAACATACTCTAATAAATTAAGTATAAAAATTATTTTGCAATAATACATAACTAAACTACTTATTAAAATCATATTATTCTAATTTATTCCATATTAATTTAAAAAAACATTTCATTAACCCTTAAAAGACTAATGCACCCTAATGGTTACTCGACAAGAGTTTATTTTAAGATAAAGTTGGTGCTATCAAATTTTCATTATCTGATACTTCATAAAATAGTGTATCGGCTTTTAAGGGTTAAGTAGCAGCAACATTGATAAAATGTTTCATAAACAAGGTATTTTAAATGAACAATAAAAAATGTTGATGACATTTAATGGTAATATTTTATATAGATTTAAAACTAAATTTTCCTAGATGGTTTCTTTCCTTTATTCAATAATAGCAGATGAAACCATGGTATTAACACCACAAGACCCGTCACCTCTATAGAGCAAATAATAACCCTAGAAAAAAAAAATTTTTATTCAATATTATTAAGATTATAATAATCAACTCTCATATTAATGGTCTAACAAACAAAAGAGATAAGTAATATTTAAAAAAAAAATGAGATAAAGGAATAAATATAGAAAACAGTTCATTTTTGAACAGCAACTGTTATAGTTGGTGAATTGAATTTTAAAAATTCACTATTTTATAGTATTTTAAAAATTAGAATTTACTTTAAATCTTAAAGCAGTAAGCATTTTTAAATGGAGCTCTTGAAAAATGCTTAAAATTACAATAACCTATAATTATATTAGTCATCGATATACAGGATAATTTAAGGGTAAGACATTACTTTTCTTGAAGAGTATTGAATATTTTTATTTTTTTTTTAGTTTTTTTAACCGATAAACCTTTTTTTGTTATTATTTTTTTTGAAAGACTGGTGTGGAAAAATTTTTTAGATAACTACCATAAAAATAATTTATGACTAATTAAAACTGATTATTATTACTTCCGGTATTTCGAAAACCAAATTAATGTTGAAATTGTACTTTAAATCAAATTCTTCAAACAATTTTAAAACAAAATCTTGATTAGATAAAAACAATTATAAGAACAAAATTAAAACTTTTTTTTATATATATATAATAGTTTTTTGAATTACATATTTTTACAAAAATTAAAATTTTTCAATAGTTGTCAAGAAAATGAGTGTCTTATCCTTAATGAAGTACTCTGTATACAGAAACACTTGACTAATTATGAAAAATGTGGGTGTCTTATTTCCACATAACAAAAAATTCAACATAACGATGATACAATCATTTCATTTGAAAGGATAGTGAAAATTTTTCTTATTTACACCATCTTTATAACCAGTTTTAAAATTTAGAAAAAACAATTTTGGAAATGCCATTTTTTATGGTGGCATAATTTTAAAATATTAAAAATGTGCATAAAACCAATACATTCTCAGCTTTGCATCAAAACTTAAAATTGATTGTTCAAATTTTTAAAAAATTTATTTTAGTTAAGTAAGAAAGTCTTGAATATTTCTTTAGTGTTTAATATACTTTGTCAAAAACAGTTACATATTGGTATAAAACTTTTACCTGTTCTCCCCATTCATGGCCCCAACTATTTTTTATGGTCCAATATGGTAATACAGTATCATTTAAATTAGGATTGCCTGAAAAATAAATAAATTAATTAAATGGTTTAGCTTACCTTTTCACCCCATCTAGGACCCCAACTATTTTTTATTAACCAATACGGAAGATTTTTTTTGGTATATTTGGTTCCTAAAATTAAATATTTCATATAAAAATTACAGAAAAATTAAAAATCATCTATTTAATTTTCTGTTCTCTTGAGAACATATGAGTTATATTTGACATTTTTTGGTTGGACCAATGGGCCCTTTTAGCTTCCTCTAAATATGCAACTTTATAATGGCCTACTGCACAATACATAATAGATTTAAATTTACATTTTTTAATGGCTTTAACAGATGCAAATATTCTTCATATCATACACAGTATGATATAGATCAGTGGTCGGCAACCTTTTTTAATTCTCGGGCCACATTTACAAATTAAAAAGAGTTCGCGGGCCAGATAAAAAAAAAAAATTTATAATTACATTATTTATTATGCAAAAAAATACTATCTACAACTTAAAATAATAATATGACTTATATAAAATACCCGTACCAAAAACGCAACGTTCAATTATATTTATACTAAATGATATTCAATTAAATTAGTCGATTTAGAATTTAAAGCGGGCCGTATTCAATAGCCACGCGGGCCGGATACGGCCCGCGGGCCGCCGGTTGCCGACCACTGACTTAAACAATATGCAATTTTTATTGTGATATGGGNTTGATATAGATAATATTTTTCTTTAAAACTTGTGTAAATAGGCTAATATAAAAGTAAACATATTTGGACAATATAAAACTTGAAAAAAATAAGGAAATTAAGGATAAGACTAATTAATTACCAACGAACTGAAAATACAAAATTTTTAATAATTGTTTTAATGTTATAGTATCTTACTGTGCACTCCATATCCAACAATTGTAACTCCATGATTCAAAGATTTTGGATCACATAATACACGATATGGGTGAGAGACACCTCTTAAGTAAAACTAAAAAAAATACAAAGTTTCAATCAATTGAAAATTCATTAAGAATATTATTAAATACAAAACCACATTCAACTTAATAAAAAATTACTTTAGTAATGTAAGTCCAACAATTAAAAAAAATTACTAATTATTTTGAATATGAATCTCTAGTAGACAATAGTCAAGCAAATTAATGAAACTTTCCTGACTTAAAATTTAGTATATTAAATCCATATTGTTACGAAATTCAGTAAAAAATTATGAGTTTTTTCTATTCTTGTTGATATGTTTAAATTAAATATTAATTATATTACATACCTGCATAGCATTAGCATTCACACCTACTGAAAGAGGCCCATGTTCTACTAAAAATTTTGCAATATCTTCTTCATTAGAAGATACATTAACAGCTCTATCAATTTTAACTTTTAATTGACTTTTAACTAATTGACAACCTTTCCTATCAGCATGACCTTCATATGGATAATCAGCTTCAGTTTCTAAGCCACCAAGTTCTTCAACAGCTTCAAAAGCTTGAGTCATTAAACCACCATTGCATCCTTCATCAACTTTATCACAATCAATTAATTCTGTAAAATTAAATTACAACATATATTTAAATAATATTGAATTTTACAAAATAAAGATAAAAATCAAAATACAACTTAATGAATGACATTTTTATTAATATGTTTAATAGATCTAATCTTGAAAATATTTTTAAAAAATGTAGAATACCTTGAACAGAAAGAGATACAAGATTTCCTGATTTTATTGCATATTGACCTTCTATATTTGCAACAGCTGAAAATGCCCAACAAGATCCACAGTTTCCCTATGATCATTTTTAAAGTATTTAGAAATAATACAAATATAAAAATGTATGACAATTTTTTTTATTATCCTTAAAGATTAAAAAATTTTTACATCTGTTCTAAAAAGTCTAACTTGTCAAATCACATTAATTTCTAATTAAATTAACATTTTAGCTTACGCGCTTAATTAAGAGTTATTTCTGACATATTTCTCAACATACTTTTATTATAATGAAGAATAGTTAGTTTGTCAATACATAGGAGGATAGTAGTTCATCTTACCAAGGAATTAGATCCCTTAAGCATTTTCTTTAAATTACGCCTATGAATATAAATATATTTATATACAGAGACAACATGACAAGATGAGAAATGGTACCTTCTAGAAATGTTATGCTTGGGACTCATGTAACACATTTAAACTACTTAAAATATAGGTAATAAACAAAATGAGGTCGTCAAGATATTAAAATGGACTTAATGAAAACTTACTCCCTTAAACATCATAAACTATGTGCAGAGTAGCCTATAGGGATGATGGGAATTTTTCCAATAGATTGCAGAAATAATGTAGATATAAGACAAAAGGGCAATGAAAAGTTATTTGAATCAACTTTTGTGAACTATGGAAAATAGAAAACATGGAGTTATTCTAAATAGTCTACCTTAAGTAGCATTAAAAACTAGCTGAGGAATTATCAGATAATTTGGATGCATAAGTTTTAATTAAAAATATAATTTACAATCAATTTACAACCGATAATAATATGAAAAGAATTATGGCTCATACAAAATTAATTTCCCAGTTTAAACATTAGAGCAGGTCTCATCCTTACCATGTGCTATCCATCTATTTATCTTTTACTTTTATAATTTAAGTAATTTACAAATTTATTTAGTAAATAATTAAACTTACAAAAACATAAATACAATTTTCACCTGATTTTTCACTGGAGTAACAGCACTACGATTTCTCCAATCAAATTCATCAGGAAGTAAATTTAATTGTGGAATATCAGCCATAGGAAGAACTTTGCTAGATTTTTTTGATAAATTTAAACCCAAATATTTCTGACTGAATTCTTCACCTATAAACCAAAATAAAAATTAGGTATAATAACACAACTAAGAGTTGCAATTTATTCATAATAACATCATTAGAAATTCATTAATTGTGTAAATGAATGAATGTCTTTCTATATGTATTTATTACTTTTATAAATTATAATCTATTACAATAAATTCATTTTATGTTATATTTTTCATTACATATATTGAATTTGCTCAGAATTTATGTTATCTACTTTTTATTTTTTCATAAAACTCAATATCTCAAACATTTATTTAAGATTTGAAGTATCTACTGTATTATATCTTTTACATATTCACCATTTAAAAGATTTAATATTTATTATATTTTAGGAAAACAAATATAAACAATTTTTACATTTAATGGAAAATTTTTGACACTAATTTTAAATGCTATTTTACTTTAATTTATGTTGTTATAATATGTATTGATAATTTTCATAATATAAAACAAATATTATTCCATAAATAATTAACATTCACAATTTACCTAATTGTAGGATATAATTAATTATATCCTAAGTTATGTCTACTCATTATAATATGATAATGATAAAATATTTACTAGTTAAATCTGCAAATTGAGTAGCTCCATAAATTGCTGTTCCTTGTTCATTTTCTTGTAATAATTTTATTTTATTCATATTTGCTGCAAAAATACGGTAACGTTTTTGTTTTTCGTCAGTAGAAGTGTATATTTTTTTATGTGTTTTTATAAAATTTTCGAAATCACTTTTAAGTTTTAATCTATCGTCAACACGATTATTTTTGTAAGACAATGTTTTCTGAAATAATAAATAATAAATTCAAAGGTCCATACTAATAAAATCTAGTAATTATTTTATTATCTTAAAGTACATTGTATTAGTTTTAATTTGATGTAAGTTTAAAGATGTAAAGTTTATTGGAACATAATAAAAAATTGAAAAAACATTTTATATGATTTTTAATTTTCCCACAAAATAGAACCAAATTTATTTTTAGACAAAATTAATAAGATTTAGAATTTGTGCTTTAGAGTATTAAAGAAGCTGATTTATAAGTTTTTTTAGGCTGCTGAATACAATTTTGACATTAGTTTGTTAACATCCTTATTTATAATGGGTTTATTGGGAATCATTTATCAATTTTATTTTATTTTTAAATAATTTATCAGAATTATGTTATACGAAACCAAAATTATTAAAAAATTGTTCAGTGGTTTTATACTCATTTTACATATTGTACGTATAGTGTCTTATTTCATCATAACTTACAATGACAATGACAAATAACACAACTCTTATAAATTGTGATACAATAATTTTTTTTTTTAAATAATTATTGTCTTCTTATATTAGATTTAAAGCATTTTTTTTTATTATTTATCAATAATAAGAAAACTTATTAACTTGATCAGAATTTTTTATTATTAATTATGTAATTAAAGTAATTATTAATAATTATATTTATTTATATGATATAAAACTTTTAAATCATAGTAAACTATGAATAAATATCTTGAGGGGTGGGTGTAAATAAAGCCTTATTATTTATCTCTAAAATTGTGAGTTTTTTATATAACTTCCAGGTAAGGTACTACTTATTTTAAAATTTAATAAAATAAAGTAATTTGATTGGTTTTCAACGTTTTTCAGTATAAAAACCCATTAAATTAAAAATAAAACCCTACTTCATACACCCTCTGAATACTCACTCATATATTACTATGGTTTAAAAGATTTACAGTCTACAATTTGAATAGTGTGCTACATGTAAAGAAATATGCAATACTAAATAAACTTTTAAATACTATACATATAATTTTGTAAACAATATAAATAATACTGAATGTTTAATAAAATAATTAAAACCAGTTAGTTTTTTTTATCAATAATAAAATTTATATTTAAATATTACTAAAATATTAAATTTTATATAGCTTTAGTGAGCATTTTTCTCGAAAACAGTTGATATTTTAAAACTCTTGCTGATGAGCAACAACATTTTTTTAAATTATTGGCAATCATTTTCTCAGTTTCGTGACAAAGTACTTTCATTGAAAATTTTTTTTTTTAAATCAGAGCATGCTAAGTAATTTTTCCCAGAAGAGCGTTTATTTCTTTATTCTGTTATATAGAAAGATATAATGAAGTAATAATGAGTTGAGTATAAAAAAAGAAAGAATTAGTTAAAAGTATAGTTTTTGCTTGAAGTGCTTAAGGATGTAACCATGTTTACAGTTGAATCCGAAACATCAGAACTCAACTGTAAACATGAATACATCCTTAAACACTTCTAGCAACAAGATTTTCATATCCATGAAAAATTTAACACATTCATAAAGTGTAGTTTTACTAAGTATTGCAGTAACAATATTACAAAAAACCTGTTTGTTTTTAGTTTTTCCTCAAAATCTTAAAAATGATTACTTAACATTTTTTTAAAAGTATTGATTCAATTGACATTGTAACCCTAGAATTTATGCATAAAATAAAAATCTTTAAAATAACTAATATCATTAGTTAACTTTTGAATAATAAGCAATAGCTATATTTTATAAGAAAATATTTCCTAAAAAAAAAATTTTAACTAAGTTAATTTAAACTATATCAATAAACAACAAAATATATATCTTTTGAATATTTATACAACTTACAGATATTTCTATTGTGGTTTGATAAGGTTCATTACAAATTACTCTAGTTGTAGTTTTTCTTTCTAACCAAGGTTGTTCCCATACATTGACAGAACAAATCCTACATTTCTACAAAATAAATTAATTTAGAATAATTATCTAAATTAAGTAGAAAATTGGATGGTTGCATTTTAAAATAAAAATAATCATATTCAGTACCGGCAAAATAGATCCATTTTCACAAACTTCCATTTTGATATTATACATAACTCCTGATACAATCTTTAAAATAAACATATTTTAATAACTAATAACATATTTAATAAATAAATAATTTTATATACGTAATAAAAAATTTTTATTTTTACTTGTTTTGTTGCTGATAAAATTTTAGATAGTAAATGTGAATTACCGGATCCAACTTGATTATCAATATTTGTTAGTGCATATGATGCCATTTCTTGAACTTTCATATCATATGGGTCTAGACTTGATCTTTCACCAAATGGTGAATTTTCACTGTCATGTATATCCTAGTAATAAAAAAAAATTCCTAAGAAATATCATAGAAAATAATTTATTCATAGTTGTTTTATTGATAACCAAATATTTGCATAAATATTTACTACTTAAATACTCAACACTATCATAAGCATTAAAACAAAAATTAAAAATAAATAATTGTATCTTATTCTGTACAATTTGATAAAAACAAATTAAAATTTATACTTTTCAATAAACATTGTCTCATCAATATTATTGTAAGTTAAATGTTCAATAAATTTTATTTAACTAAGTAAGACCAAAGTTAAAATATAATAAAAAAATATCAATTCATATTTACTCAAAAATTTATAGACATAAACATAATATTAATAATAACTATTTAATGTAAATAGAAAACCTATTTTTGAGTAAAATTATTTTTAATTAAAAAAAATTTAAGTTGAGTAAGATAAAAAATAAGAAAACAAAACACAATAAAATTCATACTCTTTTTTTTATAGAAACTTTTGACAAAGATGCCAAATTTTTAGGTTTAGAACAAGCAACTTTTGTAACATTTATACGATTTAACCAAGATTGTTCCCAAATTGTTACATCACATGCATGGCAAACCTAAAATAGAAACATTTTTTATAAATAAAAATATAAAAATTCAATGTCTTAATTTAAAAAATAATAATATGAAATATTAACCTCGTAATCTAATTGGTCAGTATTAGTTAAATCTTTTTCACAAACTTGTAAGCCAATTTTATAATTTACTCCTGCAACAATCTATAAATTAAAATGAAAAATAAATTATGATCAAAAAACAAATATAACTAAGACATGTTCGATCATTACTTGGGATTTAGCTGATACTATTTTAACCAAACCTAAAGAACGTTTTGACATAGTTTGCTGAGTAATAGAATCAAGAGCAAATAGTGCTTTTGTCCTAACTACATCACTGTTGATATCTAATGAACTGTAACCTCCAGCTGGTGAAATCTACAAAAATAATAATACAATTTAATTACATTATAACTATTTTTAATAAAAAAATAACTTCTATCTTCTTAAATAGAAGTGGAATTTTTCTTAAATAATCAAATCTATTAGAAATAAAAAATAATTTTTGAGAAAAAAAAACAAAAAAAGTTATTATATTTTTTTAAGAGAGGTCTAATTTTGTAACTCAAATTGAAAAAATTATAAAATTCTAGAATCTAAAATAAAATTGTATTGTTAAGATTTTTCGTAAATATTAAAACAAATTTTAGTAATAAAAAGACTGTTTTTTTTGTAAACCTAATTTTAAGTATAAAGACTAATTGTCAAACAACAACAAATTGCTTAGCCAATAGAAAACCAGATATTGAAAATATTTTATTGAAAAAATTACATTTTACTCATTATAATTACATAATCATTAGTGTTGGTTATTACAGTAGAATTTTTAGATATTACAATCAATTAGGCACTTTCACAACAAAAATATGAGTATAAATTTTGATTTTTTATTGAATTACAAGTTTTGGGACAATACTTCTATTTTATTGAAGAACAAAACAAAAATATTGTTTCAAAAACTATAATTTAATTTAATAACATTTTTTTACATGATTTTTTCAAAACTACTTTACTATCTGTATTACAAAAAAATTCTATAACAAGAAAAATTGTGGAATTTATCTAATAAAATGTAATTGTTTAAAAAATAATGTTTTTACTACTCGTAAAAAACTTAGTTATTTTTTTACTTACCATTTTAGAAAATGCATTTCTTGAAGCAAATACTAAACACAGGCAAATGCCTATGAATATCAACTTCATTTTTTATTAGATTATTTAAAATAAATTGAAATTCTAAATTAAAACAAATAAACATATATACGTAAAATCATAATATTTAAAATAAATTAAAGTAAAATTTAAATATTCTAATAACAATGAAAAACTTAGAATGGAAAAATAATTTATGTCTAAACTGTTGCGTAGTTAATATAGAAAATGTAATTACATAAATTGAAAGGATCACATCAGCAAATAAAGTAAATACTTACAAACATAAATAAACATAACAAAAATCAATAGCGAACAGAACACAGTTGATCACACTACTGTGCAATGAACACTGATGATTTTCTGTTAAAACAATCTTCCTTTTATTTTATTTTTTTACTGAAATGTAAACATACAATTAATTATAAAATCTTTTTATCAAATACTATAAATAAGTAGTATTTGTTATCATTCCTTTTGAACGGCAACTCAATATAACAGATAGTATGAAGTGGTCCAATATGTTTTAAGTTATACGAGTAGTAATAAAGAAAATCAGAACAATAAAAGTGTTATGTTTTGTTACATTTATTATAGTCTGATCAAAAACTAATATCGAAGATATTAGTTAATAGGTAATTATTTGCAACATTATGCATCTATTAAAAAAAAATTTATATTGATTTGTTCAATTTTGAAAAAGTTATGGCAGTTTTATGTAAAAAAAATTGAAAAAATGTCGAAAATTAGTGATTTTTAAATTTGTAATTTTTTTGAAGATTTCCCCTATTTACTGGGAACGAGGGAATTTTTTTCAATTTTTAAGGGTAATGTCTTCGACTAGATTTGATTTTTGATCTTTTGACGTATCGTTGAAAGAAATCCGTTCGGTGAGAGCTGAGAAAAAGTGGTAACAGACACAAAAATAAACACATCATAGTAAAACTAATACCTTCTCAACTTCACATGGAATCTAAAATATATTTTGCTGTATGATAAATTATACACTTCTCTATACATACCAATAATCTTAAAACTTCACTTTTGTAATTTACTAGTTTTTAATTATAAGCCACAATATTTAAAGTTTGTGCATTGAAATTAAAATTTAAAAGAAAATTTCTAACAGGGCTTTGCATTCATTAACAAAATGACCACCAAAGGTAAAAAAAAAAATTTTTGTTTCGTAAAAATGGAATTTTATAAAAAGTTGATTTTGTGTCGTATTTGTTTATGTTTCTAAATTTCTACATACAAGTAACAAATAATTATTTAAGTCGTATGAATTAGTTAATACATTGGTGAGAGATGTCGATTTTTTTTATGTACATTCGCATTGAAGCATTTTTTGACAGTGATATAAATCTTTGTTAGTTTTTGATTTTTGCAAAATATTTACTATATAAGATCCCTACTAAGTTGATTTTCAACCATCTATAAACAATGATAAATGGAAGTATCCTATAATTTCATCCTATCATCATCATCTAAATTTTTCACAAAAAATTACATCAGATATAGTTTTGATATAAAAAGATCCAGAAGTGAGAGACTGAATTTTTTTTTTTTTTGTAGGGTGATATATAGTGTTCAGTAAGTAAGGAAACCGGTTACTATTGTTCTTATTGATTAAACTATTGACCTGTTTCCTTACTTTTTGATAATTCTGTATATTATATTCTTAATTTTTTTTTAATTTGAGCCAAGGCTTCAACTGGAATAACATGTTAGGTTATTATTCCGTAAATTTTATAGTTTCGAAGAAATACAATATAAGGGTTTAATTAATTGAACTATGGTAAATTAATTTTTTTTAGTAACTAAATTAAATTACTAATTCCTCAATTGATTAGGAGTTAAAATACTTAAAAATTACTCAATAAAAAAAATAATAAAGTTACATTACTCTTAAGGTTAAGAAGTATTAATTACAATGAAAATATTTTTTTTATTTTTATATTAGATATGAAATTTTATGTTAGATTTTTACACTAGGAATACATAAAATTATTAAGTGACAAGTTACCATCAAAACTTTTTTCAACATTTAATTGAATAGTATTATTCGAGTCTTGGTTATTATTTTTTGTATTTTATTTACAGGAAAATTGCTAGAAAAAAAATTTTACCTAGAAGTAAGGACTTAAATAATTCTTAAATTTTGATACAATGAAAAAGAGGTATGAACTTTTTTTAAATTACACCTCGGTATAAAATTCTAAATAACCACTAAAGAGCAGTGCAAACTTTTAAAATATATCGTTTAAAATAAAGTAACGAGTAATTTTTTAAAATAACCCTTAAATANGCAAACTTTTAAAATATATCGTTTAAAATAAAGTAACGAGTAATTTTTTAAAATAACCCTTAAATAATTAATTAAAAATAAAATATAACTACTTTTAATAATTAAATTACACTAAAGTTACTTTATAAGTAGTTTCGTTACTATATCTTGTAATTCAAGTTACTACCCAACACTGATAATAGTAAATTATCGTTTGTTACTATTCCTTTAAGCAAATAATTTTTTTAAGTAATACATTTCTTAATATTAGTTAACTTTTTATATCACTTAATTATTATTTGTAAAAAGAACTAGTTGTTCAATTTTACTTTTATTTTTTTTTTGCGTATTATGATAATTAAAACACGTAAGAAAATATTAATTTGTAAATTATAATTGCTAATTGTTAATACATATATAATCTAAAAATGATAAATCCTATCTTTAATTATTTATTGAAGTATAATTTATTATAAAAAATTATAAGATCAAATATCATTCATGGTATTTTTTCAATAGTTATTTAATGATTTATATTTTTTTTAGTTTAAGTGGATACTATTTAATATTTACTTTTTATAGTATCTTAAATTACACTGACGAAAACTTAGAATAAGTAAATTGTTGGATTTTATTTTATTTTTTATTCCATTGGATACCTATACCAATACTTAATTAAGAAAATCTATCCTTAGCTAAGAAAATGTCAGTTTAAGTGCAAAATATGGCTGCGTTTACGTTTGTTTATTCCGTGTTGTTTTTTTTTATCAATATTTTAATTGTATTAATATAAAATGTTAAAATTTATTTAAATAATTTTCAAGAGTAAAAAAATTATTTTATGAATATCAATTAAAAATTTAAGAGTATTGTAAATATTTAAAAAGTGCTTCAATGTTTTTATTCTATTAAATAGCTTACTCACTGAGATAATAAATCAATGGTGATTGAATTATATATGCGATTGAAAATAGTTTGAACAATTTATGATAGCCCTATATCGATGCAATCGGCCTCGCATAAAAGAGTTGTTTAAAAAAAATCAACATTTGATATATAATTTAATCAACTTTGATTATCATTTAAAAATATCAATGTCACATTTTAGCTTCAATGCGAAGCTGAGAAGGTATTGGTTTTACTATGATGTGTTTTTTTTTTTTGTGTCTGTTACCACTTTTTCTCAGCTCTCACCGAACGGATTTTTTTCAACGATACGTCAAAAGATCACAAATCGTATCTAGTCGAAGACATTACCCTTAAAAATTGAAAAAAATTCCCTCGTTCCCAGTAAATGGGGGAAATCTTCAAAAAAATTACAAATTTAAAAATCACTAATTTTCGACATTTTTTCAATTTTTTTACATAAAACTGCCATAACTTTTTCAAAATTGAACAAATCAATATAAATTTTTTTTTAATAGATGCATAATGTCTTTACCTATCATTTGATATATTTTTTTTTATAAAATTGACCTACAGGTGGGGATTCAAAATGACAACTTTTTCACAAAAAATTAACTTTTTTAACTTAACTTTTGAAAGTGTTCCAGAAATACTGACACTTTTATATATATCTTAAATTAATGCTAATGTAATATACTTTATTATGAAAAAACATTTTTTCATGGTAAAATCAGACATCAAAGTTAATAAAAAAAATTCTTTTTTATATTCTTAACTTTATAATGCTACAACTTTTTGAAAAATATATCGATCATTATGTTTTTTTTGAGATAAGTACATTAATATTTATTAATATTTTTAATGAAAAAAAAAAAATTTGTCCCGACACTTTATCTTCTACATTTAAACTGCTGCTGTAGTTAAAAAAATACTATTTTTTGTTAAAATTTTCGATTTTCGATTTTAAATTTTCAACTTAAAAATGCTATAACTTTTCGAAAAATGTATGTATTAACACAAATTTTTTTTTTCTAAATACATTATAAGTACATCTTTCATTTGACATACATTTTAGTAAAATTGAACAATATCCCCTTAAAATGGGGAAGTTCAAAACTTCAAACATCGTATAAAAAATATAACTTTTTCAACTTAACTTTTGAATATAATAAAAATTGATCACTTTTGATCAGTGTGTATTTAGCGTTGATAATGGTAACATTGTTTCCGAAATACGTATCCCCGACTTTTCATTAATTTTTTATGGCTTTGAGTTTAATATTTTTTAGTTTTTTTTTTTAATTAATAATATTTTTAATATAGTTTTAATTTTACTTAATTAATTTTTAAAAATGTTCCAGAAACACGCGTCCTATAAACATATATCAAATCAAAGGTTATGTTATATACTATAAAATGAAAAAAAAAATTTGTTCCGACAGCTTATCTTCTATGTGCAAAGGACTGCCGAAATTCAACAAAAAATGTAATGTTTGCGATAAAAATCACCTTCTATCAGGATGTTTTTGTACTTAAAACTGTCATAACTTTTTCAAATATTAACAAATCAAAATAATATTTTTTAATATAGAAATCTTAGGTAATTTCCTTTCATTAGATATCATTTTTTTTTTTTTTTGAGAATCTAACACTTATTCTGCTCACTGGGGGATTTAAAATAGTAACTTTTATACAAAAAATAACTTTTTCAACTTAACTTTTGAAAATGTTCTGGAATTACTGCGTCCTTTAAACATATACAAAATTAAAGCCTATGTCACGTACTATAAAATTAAGCGAAAAAAATTTGTCCCGACGACCTACGAATATGCGCAAATGGCTACCGTATTCAAAAATATGCTATTTTTGTATTAAAATTCTGGGTTTTGTATTTTATTTTAAAATATTTTAATAGGGGAATACACTGACTTTCATGAATATTATATAATTTAATTGTCATAGAATAAATAAGACAGGTAAATTATTTAACATTTTTTTACTTTTTTAAAGTCGAAAAAGTAATTTTTAAATTTGAGTTAGCTTTAATTGCTAATATTATCATACAACGCAGATGACAATCACTTGCCGAATCGGTAACACTTATGTCGCTTGCTCATAGGGTACGAAGTTCAAATCCGCCTGTGGCATAATAATATATTTTGCTTTTTTTTTGAGTTTTTGAATTTTCAAATCGTTTGATTTTTACCTCATTTAGATTCAATAACTTCAATAAATATAAAGAATCCCATCACTATAGTCTCCCCTCGTGAGAAGAAATTTATATTCATGTTAATATTATTTTACTATGTGGTTTTTTTGTAGCTACGATTTATTTTGTCAACCCTCACTAGACCTACTTTTTTCAACGATACGTCAAATGATTACAATTCGTATATAGTTTAAGTTATTACTCTTAAAAATCGAACAATTATTCCTTATTCAAATAAAAAGTAGATTAACCAGCTTTTTCCATACAAACAATTAAAAACATTCATTTCTAAAATTCTTAAAGTATTTATTACTAGAAGTAGATTTGATATGGTAAACGTATTCAACTACAAAAGTAAATAATTTTAATTTGTAATTTATTAATTTTTTAACTCTATTTGTGTGTGCTACTACCAGTCTATAATATTCCAATTTTTTTTTGTAACATGTTGCCATATAAATCATAAATTTAAAGGAGAAATGATTTTTAGTTTCACCTGAATTTAACGAAGGATTTTTACAATTAAAATCAAATTTTATAATACGCTTAATTGAGTAAATCTTTTTAACAACTTTTTTTTATTGTATTAATTTTACTATGATGTGTTTTTTTTTTTTTATGTCTGTTGCCACTTTTTCTCAGCTCTCACTGGACGGATTTCTTTCAAAAATACGTCAAAAGATCACAAATCGTATCTAGTTGGAGACATTACCCTTAAAAATTGAAAAAAAATTCCCTCGTTCCCCGCAAATACGGGAAATATGCAAAAAAATTACAAATTTAAAAATCGCTAATTTTCGAAAATTTTTCACTTTTTTTTCTTAAAATTTCTATAACTTTTTGAAAAATCAACAAATCAATATAATTTTTTTTTATACTAAAACCTTAGATATTTCCCTTTCATTTGATATCATTTTTTTGAAAATCTAACACTTAACCTGCTCATTGGGGGGATTTAAAATAGCAACTTTTTTTAAATGGCAAATGGCTGCCGTAGTTAAAAAAACACTATTTTTTGTTAAAATTTTCGATTTTCGATTTTAAATTATCAACTTAAAAATGCTATAACTTTTCGAAAAATGTATGTATTAGTACAAATTTTTTTTTTCTAAATACATTATAAGTACATCTTTCATTTGACATACATTTTAGTAAAATTGAACAATTTTCCCTTATATAGGGGGCGTTCAAAACTTGAAATATTGTAAAAAACATAGATCTTTTTCAACTGAACTTTTAAAAATGTTCCGGAAATACTGCGTCCTTTAAACATACATTAAATCAAAGGTTATGTTATATACTATCAAATGAAAAAAAAATATTTGTCCCGACATCTTATCTTATATGTGCAAATGGCTGTCGAAAATTAAAAAAAAATGTAATGTTTGTAATAAAAATTACCTTTTATCGGGATGTTTTTTGTACTTAAAACTGCCATAACTTTTTCAAAAATGAACAATTAAAAATAATATTTTTTTGTATTGAAACCTTAGATATTTCCCTTTCATTTGATATAATTTTTTTTGAAAATCTAACACTTATTCTGCTCACTGGGGGGATTTAAAATAGTAACTTTTTTACAAAAAATAACTTTTTCAACTTAATTTTTGAAAATGTTCCGGAAATACTGCGTCCTTTAAACATATATCAAATCAAAGGTTATGTTATATACTATCAAATGAAAAAAAAAAATTTGTCCCGACATCTTATCTTCTATGTGCAAATGGCTGTCGAAAATTTAAAAAAAAATGTAATGTTTGCGATAAAAATTACCTTTTATCGGGATGTTTTTTGTACTTAAAACTGCCATAACTTTTTCAAAAATGAACAAATAAAAATAATATTTTTTTGTATTGAAACCTTAGATATTTCCCTTTCATTTGATATAATTTTTTTTGAAAATCTAACACTTATTCTGCTCACTGGGGGATTTAAAATAGTAACTTTTATACAAAAAATAACTTTTTCAACTTAATTTTTGAAAATGTTCTGGAATTACTGCGTCCTTTAAACATATATCAAATTAAAGCTTATTTTGTGTACTACAAAATGAAAAAAAAAAATTTGTCCCGACACTTTTTTTTCTACATTTAAACGGCTGCCGTAGTTAAAAAAACACTATTTTTGTGTTAAAATTTTCGATTTTCGATTTTAAATTTTCAACTTAAAAATGCTATAACTTTTTGAAAAATGTATATATCAGCACAAATTTTTTTTTTCTAAATACATTATAAGTACATCTTTCATTTGACATACTTTTTATTAAAATTGGACAATTTCCCCTTATATAGGGGGCGTTCAAAACTTAAAATATTGTAAAAAACATAGATCTTTTTCAACTGAACTTTTGAAAATGTTCCGGAAATACTGCGTCCTTTAAACATATATCAAATCAAAGGTTATTTTATGTACTATCAAATGAAAAAAAAAAATTTGTCCCGACATCTTATCTTCTATGTGCAAATGGCTGTCGAAAATTCAAAAAAAAATGTAATGTTTGCGATAAAAATTACATTTTATCGGGATGTTTTTTGTACTTAAAACTGCCATAACTTTTTCAAAAATGAACAAATAAAAATAATATTTTTTTGTATTGAAACCTTAGATATTTCCCTTTCATTTGATATAATTTTTTTTGAAAATCTAACACTTATTCTGCTCACTGGGGATTTAAAATAGTAACTTTTATACAAAAAATAACTTTTTCAACTTAATTTTTGAAAATGTTCTGGAATTACTGCGTCCTTTAAACATATATCAAATTAAAGCTTATTTTGTGTACTATAAAATAAATAAAAAAAATTAGTCCCGACGATCTATCTTCTATGCGTAAATGGCTACCATATTCAAAAATATGCTATTTTAACAATTTTTTTTTTTTTTTTTAATTAAACACTATCTACAGATTTGCATCGAAGCGTTTTTTATGATTGTGATTTTAATCACTGTCAGATATCATCTATACTAGACCCAACTATGCCACGACCCCACTGTGCCGCCACCCCACTGTGCTGGGTTTTTTTAGATAAGTAAATCATTAAAATTAATTAAGTTCTGAATATTTCCATTATAGAATTTTTTTAAACACCAAAAGCTAATTAGAAATGATTACTATGATTTTTATGTAAGTGATCTATTACGATAAAAATGTAAAAAAAAAAACGAACTCTTCTGATAAATGTACTGTAAATAGTAATTATAAAATTTCTTGATTGCATATTAATCTTAACAATTTTATTTTTTTCTATTTAATAATGTCTAATTCAAACTTGCAAGTTGAGCTAAAAATTATGGTAATAAATTCATTTTTTTTTTTTTATTATAAACTTTCGCTTTAAAGGACAAAAAAAAGTAGGTTAAAAATTATTACTTTTAGCATATTAAAAATCAATAATAATTTAAAAACAATTAATTATAAAAATTATATAATATATAAGTAAAAGAATTACTAATCTGGATATAATTAAGGAAATAGGAGTTGANATAATATATAAGTAAAAGAATTACTAATCTGGATATAATTAAGGAAATAGTTGTTGCTTTTGTAATTATCCACCAATTTCTTAGAATTATACATTATCTAAAGATTTGCATCGTAGCATTTCTTATGACAGTGATTTTAATCATTGTTATTTTATTATTTATTACAGGATTTGGCCGACCCCAAGTAATTGGGATTAAAACGAGGAAAAAAAAGATTCCAGGACTATATTCGATTATGTTAATTTTACCATTGTTGTTTTCACTACATGGCGAAATACCTATAGGAATTTATTTAACTCCTTAGGAAAAATGTATACAAATATTAATATATCTGATAATATATCAAAAAAAAAAATGATTTTTTAATATATAAAAAAACCCAACATAGTGGGATGGCTGCACAGTGGGGTCGTGGTATNAGTGGGATGGCTGCACAGTGGGGTCGTGGTATAGTTGGGTCCAGCATAGATGATATCTGACAATGATTTAAATCACTATCATAAAAAATGCTTCGATGCAAATCTGTAGATAGTGTTTAATTTTAAAAAAAATAATAGATTATTCTAAAAGCTACAGTATCTCTTATTTCATTATTTATATTCTGATTACAAGTTTTATGATTTAGAAGTGTAATATATGAATAAATAAATATAAATATATTAATAAT